TAGTGTTAGTAGACTACTCTGGCTTACTAACACTCCAAGTAGGTACCTGGGTGTTAGTAACTACTCTGGTTACTAAACACTCCAAGTAGGTACCTGGGTGTTAGTAGACTACTCTGGCTTACTAACATCCAAGTAGGTACCTAGGGTGTTAGTAGACTACTCTGGCTTACTAACACTCCAAGTAGGTACCTGGGTGTTAGTAGACTACTCTGGCTTACTAACACTCCAAGTAGGTACCTGGGTGTTAGTAGACTACTCTGGCTTACTAACACTCCAAGTAGGTACCTGGTGTTAGTAGACTACACTGGCTTACTAACACTCCAAGTAGGTACCTGGGTTTAGTAGACTACTCTGGCTTACTAACACTCCAAGTAGGTACCTGGGTGTTAGTAGACTACTCTGGCTTTACTAACACTCCAAGTAGGTACCTGGGTGTTAGTAGACTACTCTGGCTTACTAACACTCCAAGTAGGTACCTGGGTGTTAGTAGACTACTCTGGCTTACTAACACTGCCAAGTAGGTACCTGGGTGTTAGTAGACTACTCTGGCTTACTAACACTCCAAGTAGGTACCTGAGTGTTAATAGACTACTCTGGCTTACTAACGCTCCAAGTAGGTACCTGGGTGTTAGTAGACTACTCTGGCTTACTAACACTCCAAGTAGGTACCTGAGTGTTAGTAGACTACTCTGGCTTACTAACAACTCCAAATAGGTACCTGGGTGTTAGAGACTACTCTGGCGTACTAACACATCCAAGTAGGTACCTGGGTGTTAGTAGACTACTCTGGCTTACTAACACTCCAAGTAGGTACCTGGGTGTTAGACTACTCTGGTTTACTAACACACCAAGTAGGTACCTGGGTGTTGATCTTGGTTACTAACCAGACGTACTCTGGTGTTAGTAGATACTCGGTACTACATCCAAGTAGGTACCTGAGTGTTAGTAGACTACTCTGGCTTACTAACACTCCAAGTAGGTACCTGGGTGTTAGTAGACTACTCTGGCTTACTAACACTCCAAGTAGGTACCTGGGTGTTAGTAGACTACTCTGGCTTACTACACTCCAAGTAGGTACCTGGGTGTTAGTAGACTACTCTGGCTTACTAACACTCCAAGTAGGTACCTGGGTGTTAGTAGACTACTCTGGCTTACTAACACTCCAAGTAGGTACCTGGGTGTTAGTAGACTACTTGGCTTACTAAGACTCCAAGTAGGTACCTGGGTGTTAGTAGACTACTCTGGCTTAATAACACTCCAAGTAGGTGCCTGGGTGTTAGTAGACTACTCTGGCTTACTAACACTCCAAGTAGGTACCTGGGTGTTAGTAGACTACTCTGGCTTACTAACACTCCAAGTAGGTACCTGGGTGTTAGTAGACTACTCTGGCTTACTAACACTCCAAGTAGGTACCTGGGTGTTAGTAGACTACTCTGGCTTACTAACACTCCAAGTAGGTACCTGGGTGTTAGTAGACTACTCTGGCTTACTAACACTCCAAGTAGGTACCTGGGTGTTAGTAGACTACTCTGGCTTACTAACACTCGCAAGTAGGTACCTGGGTGTTAGTAGACTTACTCTGGCTTACTAACACTCCAAGTAGGTACCTGGGTGTTAGTAGACTACTCTGGCTTACTAACACTCCAAGTAGGTACCTGGGTGTTAGTAGACTACTCTGGCTTACTAACACTCCAAGTAGGTACCTGGGTGTTAGTAGACTCTCTGGCTAACTAACTCTCCAAGTAGGTACCTGGGTGTTAGTAGACTACTGTGGCTTACTAACACTCCAAGTAGGTACCTGGGTGTTAGTAGACTACTCTGGCTTACTAACAATCCAACTAGGTACCTGAGTGTTAGTAGACTACTCTGGCTTACTAACACTGCAAGTAGGTACCTGAGTGTTAGTAGATTACTTGGCTTACTAACACTCCAAGTAGGTACCTGGGTGTTAGTAGACTACTCTGGCTTACTAACACTCCAAGTAGGTACCTGGGTGTTAGTAGACTACTCTGGCTTACTACACTCCAAGTAGGTACCTGGGTGTTAGAAGACTACTGTGGCTTACTAACACTCCAAATAGGTACCTGGGTGTTAGTAGACTACTCTGGTTTACTAACACACCAAGTAGGTACCTGGGTGTTAGTAGACTACTCTGGCTTACTAACACTCCAAGTAGGTACCTGGGTGTTAGTAGACTACTCTGGCTTACTAACACTCCAAGTAGGTACCTGGGTGTTAGTAGACTACTCTGGCTTACTAACACTCCAAGTAGGTACCTGGGTGTTAGTAGACTACTCTGGCTTACTAACACTCCAAGTAGGTACCTGGGTGTTAGTAGACTACTCTGGCTTACTAACACTCCAAGTAGGTACCTGGGTGTTAGTAGACTACTCTGGCTTACTAACACTCCAAGTAGGTACCTGGGTGTTAGTAGACTACTCTGGCTTACTAACACTCCAAGTAGGTCATGGGTGTTAGTAGACTACTCTGGCTTACTAACACTCCAAGTAGGTACCTGGGTGTTAGTAGACTACTCGTGGCTTACTAACACTCCAAGTAGGTACCTGGGTGTTAGTAGACTACTCTGGCTTACTAACACTCCAAGTAAGGTACCTGGGTGTTAGTAGACTACTCTGGCTTACTAACACTCCAAGTAGGTACCTGGGTGTTAGTAGACTACTGTGGCTTACTAACACTCCAAGTAGGTACCTGGGTGTTAGTAGACTACTCTGGCTTACTAACACTCCAAGTAGGTACCTGGGTGTTAGTAGACTACTCTGGCTTACTAACACTCCAAGTAGGTACCTGGGTGTTAGTAGACTACTGTGGCTTACTAACACTCCAAGTAGGTACCTGGGTGTTAGTAGACTACTCTGGTTTACTAACACACCAAGTAGGTACCTGGGTGTTAGTAGACTACTCTGGCTTACTAACACTCCAAGTAGGTACCTGGGTGTTAGTAGACTACTCTGGCTTACTAACACTCCAAGTAGGTACCTGGGTGTTAGACTACTCTGGCTTACTAACACTCCAAGTAGGTACCTGGGTGTTAGTAGACTACTCTGGCTTACTAACACTCCAAGTAAGTACCTGGGTGTTAGTAGACTACTCTGGCTTACTAACACTCCAAGTAAGTACCTGGGTGTTAGTAGACTACTCTGGCTTACTAACACTCCAAGTAGGTACCTGGGTGTTAGTAGACTACTGTGGCTTACTAACACTCCAAGTAGGTACCTGGGTGTTAGTAGACTACTCTGGCTTACTAACACTCCAAGTAGAGTACCTGGGTGTTAGTAGACTACTCTGGCTTACTAACACCCAAGTAGAGTACCTGGGTGTTATTAGACTACTCTGGCTTACTAACACTCCAAGTAGGTACCTGGGTGTTAGTAGACTACTCAGGCTTACTAACACTCCAAGTTAATATCAATAATTTCTTTTTCTTCTTCATTCTACACTGTTCTTCCATTTCATTTCAATTTCAATATTTCTTCCTTTTCTTCCTAACCGTCACCCTATTTCTCGATTCTCTTCCTCTCTCCAAACACCGTCACACCATCAACACTCACACACCACACCACACACACACACACACACACACACACCACGCACACACACACATACACACACACACACACACACACACACACACACACACACACACACCACACACAGCACACCACTCCACATACAACCACCCACACACCACACACACAACACACACACACCACCACACTACACACACACACACACACACAACACACACACAACACCACACACACACACACACACACGCGCGCGCACACCACACACACACACACACACACACACACACACACACACACCACACACACACACACACACACACACAGGGACAGGCTGCAGACCTGGTCCAGCAACTGGCTCCTGGAGTTCAATCCCACCAAGTGCAAAGTCATGAAGATTGAGGAAGGGCAAAGAAGACCACAGATGGAGTACAGTTAGGGGGCCAGAGACTACAAACCTCACTCAAGGAAAAAGATCTTGGGGTGAGTATAACACCAAGCACATCTCCTGAAGCGCACATCAACCAAATAACTGCTGCAGCATATGGGCGCCTAGCAAACCTCAGAACAGCATTCCGACATCTTAATAAGGAATCGTTCAGGACCCTGTACACCGTGTATGTTAGGCCCATATTGGAGTATGCGGCACCAGTTTGGAACCCACACCTAGCCAAGCACGTGAAGAAACTAGAGAAAGTGCAAAGGTTTGCAACAAGACTAGTCCCAGAGCTAAGAGGTATGTCCTACGAGGAGAGGTTAAGGGAAATCAACCTGACGACACTGGAGGACAGGAGAGATATGGGAGGCATGATAACGACATACAAAATACTGAGAGGAATTGACAAGGTGGACAAAGACAGGATGTTGCAGAGATTGGACACAGTAACAAGGGGACACAGTTGGAAGTTGAAGACACAGATGAATCACAGGGATGATAGGAAGTATTTCTTCAGCCACAGAGTAGTCAGTAAGTGGAATAGTTTCGGAAGCGATGTAGTGGAGGCAGGATCCATACATAGCTTTAAGCAGAGGTATGATAAAGCTCACGGTTCAGGGAGAGTGACCTAGTAGCGACCAGTGAAGAGGCGGGGCCAAGAGCTCGGACTCGACCCCCGCAACCTCAACTAGGTGAGTACAACTAGGTGAGTACACACACTCCACACACACACACACACACACACACACACACACACACACACACACACACACACACACACACACACACACACACACGTTAGGAAGTATTTTTTCAGTCACAGAGTCGTCAGGAAGTGGAATAGCCTAGCTATAAGACAAGGTATGACAAAGCTCAGGAAGCAGAGAGAGAGAGAGGACCTAGTAGCTATCAGTGAACAGGCGGGGCCAGGAGATGAGTCTCGACCCTTGCAACCACAATTAGGTGAATACACACATACACACACACACAATGATAGTAAAACTGACGAGTTAGGTTACCTCCTTGGTCTGACCAGCAGTGGTTGTGGTGGTGGCAGTGTTGGAGGAGTAGGAGGTGGTGGTGGTGGTGGAAGTGGTGGCTGTGGTTGCAGGGCTGGTGGAGGAGGGATGCTTCGCCACCTGAAACAACAAATATTAATTAACTAGTAGATACCACCCTAGTGAGAGATAGAGAGAGAGTATTACTTAACTAGTAGATACCACCCTAGTGAGAGACGACCTATAGTGAGATAGACGAGAGTAGACAGCGAGAGAGGGAGAGAGAAGAAGACAGAGAAGGAAGAAGAGACAGAGGAGAGAGAGAGAGAGAAGAGAGAGAAGAGAGACAGACAGACAGAGAGAGAGAGAGAAGGAAGGGAGGAAGAGAGAGAAGAGAGGAGAGAGACAGGACAGACAGACAGAGAGACAGAGAGAGAGAGAGAACAGAGAGAGACAGAGAGAGAGAGAGAGAGAGAGAGAGAGAGAGGAGAGAGAGAGAGAGGAGAAAGAGAGAGAGAGACGAGACAGAGACAGCAGGGAGAGAGAGAGAGAGAGAGAGAGAGGAGAAGACAGGACGAGACGAGAGGGCAGAGAGAGGAGAGAGAGAGAAGACAGACAGACGACAGACAGACAGAGAAGAGAGAGAGACAGACGAGAGAGAGTAAGGAGAAGAGAAGTGAGAGAAGACATAAGAGCGAGATGAAGACCGAGAGCAGAGTTGATGAGAGAGTGAGATGAGAGAGAGAAGAGATGAGAGAGAGAGCAAAGGATACAGAAGACAGACATGTGAACAGGAAGACACAGACATGAAGACTAGACAGTAGGAGAACGCATCAACATTGTGATAATGGAAGAGTAAAGCGATGTAGACCAAAACATTGAGCGAAACATCAACATTGTGATACACATGAAACATCAACATTGTGATACATGTGAAACATCAACACTGTGATACACATGAAACATCAACATTGTGATACATGTGAAACATCAACACTGTGATACATGTGAAACATCAACATTGTGATACATGTGAAACATCAACATTGTGATACATGTGAAACATCAACATTGTGATACATGAAAATCCATGGAACATGTGAAACTCAACTGTGATACATGTGAAACATCAACATTGAGATCATGTGAAACATCAAATTGTGATACATGTGAAACATCAACATTGTGATACATGTGAAACATCAACATTGTGATACATGTGAAACATCAACATTGTGATACATGTGAAACATCAACATTGTGATACATGTGAAACATCAACATTGTGATACATGTGAAACATCAACATTGTGTACATGTGAACATCAATGTGATACATGTGAACATCAACATTGTGATACATGTGAAACATCAACATTGTGATACAGTGAAACATCAACATGTGATACATGTAAACATCAACATTGTACATGTGAAACATCAACATTGTGATACATGTGAAACATCAACATTGTGATACATGTGAAACATCAACATTGTGATACATGTGAAACATCAACACTGTGATACACGTGAAACATCAACATTGTGATACATGTGAAACATCAACATGTGATACAGTGAAACATCAACATTGTGATACATGTGAAACATCAACATTGTGATACAGTGAAACATCAACATTGTGATACATGTGAAACATCAACATTGTGATACACTGAAACATCAACATTGTGATACATGTGAAACATCAACATTGTGATACATGTGAAACATCAACATTGTGATACAGTGAAACATCAACATTGTGACACAGTGAAACATCAACATTGTGATACATGTGAAACATCAACATTGTGATACACTAGAAACATCAACATTGTGATACATGTGAAAACATCAACATTGTGATACACAGTGAAACATCAACATTGTGATACATGTGAAACATCAACATTGTGATACACAAGAAACATCAACATTGTGACACATGTGAAACATCAACATTGTGATACATGTGAAACATCAACATTGTGATACAAGAAACATCAACATTGTGATACACATGTGAAACATCAACATTGTGAACACGTGAAACATCAACATTGTGATACACAAGAAACATCAACATTGTGATACATAGTGAAACATCAACATTGTGATACATGTGAAACATCAACATTGTGATACACAAGAAACATCAACATTGTGATACACAAGAAACATCAACATTGTGATACATGTGAAACATCAACATTGTGATCACATGTGAAAACATCAACATTGTGATACATAGGAAACATCAACATTGTGATACACAAGAAACATCAACATTGTGATACACAAGAAACATCAACATTGTGATACATGTGAAACATCAACATTGTGATACATGTGAAACATCAACATTGTGATACACAAGAAACATCAACATTGTGATACACAAGAAACATCAACATTGTGATACATGTGAAACATCAACATTGTGATACATGATGAAACATCAACATTGTGATACATGTGAAACATCAACATTGTGATACACAAGAAACATCAACATTGTGATACATGTGAAACATCAACATTGTGATACACAAGAAACATCAACATTGTGATACATGTGAAACATCAACATTGTGATACACGTGAAACATCAACATTGTGATACATGTGAAACATCAACATTGTGATACACAAGAAACATCAACATTGTGATACATGTGAAACATCAACATTGTGATACATGTGAAACATCAACATTGTGATACACAAGAAACATCAACATTGTGATACACATGAAACATCAACATTGTGATACATGTGAAACATCAACATTGTGATACATGTGAAACATCAACATTGTGATACACAAGAAACATCAACATTGTGATACATGTGAAACATCAACATTGTGATACACAAGAAACATCAACATTGTGATACATGTGAAACATCAACATTGTGATACACAAGAATAACATGGATAAGGACAACATTGTGATACACAAGAAACATCAACATTGTGATACAGTCAAACTGATAACAAGAACTAACTTGTGATACATGTGAAACATCAACATTGTGATACACAAGAAACATCAACATTGTGATACATGTGAAACATCAACATTGTGATACACAAGAAACATCAACATTGTGATACACGGAAAACATCAACATTGTGATAACATGTGAAACATCAACATTGTGATACACAAGAAACATCAACATTGTGATACATGTGAAACATCAACATTGTGATACACAAGAAACATCAACATTGTGATACACAAGAAACATCAACATTGTGATACATGTGAAACATCAACATTGTGATACACAAGACACAACATGTCAACATTGAATCAACATGTGAAACATCAACATTGTGATACATGTGAAACATCAACATTGTGATACATGTAAACATCAACATTGTGATACATGTGAAACATAACATTGTGATACATGTGAAACATCAACATTGTAAGAATACATTGTGAACATGAAACTCACATTGTGATACACAAGAAACATTCAACATTGTGATACATGTGAAACATCAACATTGTGATACACAAGAAACATCAACATTGTGATACATGTGAAACATCAACATTGTGATACACAAGAAACATCAACATTGTGATACATGTGAAACATCAACATTGTGATACACATGAAACATCAACATTGTGATACATGTGAAACATCAACATTGTGATACATGTGAAACATCAACATTGTGATACACAAGAAACATCAACATTGTGATACATGTGAAACATCAACATTGTGATACATGTGAAACATCAACATTGTGATACATGTGAAACATTAACATTGTGATACATGTGAAACATCAACATTGTGATACATGTGAAACATCAACATTGTGATACATGTGAAACATCAACATTGTGATACATGTGAAACATCAACATTGTGATACATGCGAAACATCAACATTGTGATACATGTGAAACATTAACATTGTGACACACGTGAAACATCAACATTGTGATACATGTGAAACATGTTTCACAACATACTGGGCGAGGCTTGTAAAATACTGGGCGAGGCTTGTAATATACTGGGCGAGGCTTGTAACATACTGGGCGAGGCTTGTAATATACTGGGCGAGGCTTGTAACATACTGGGCGAGGCTTGTAACATACTGGGCGAGGCTTGTAACATACTGGGCGAGGCTTGTAGCATACTGGGCGAGGCTTGTAACATACTGGGCGAGGCTTGTAACATACTGGGCGAGGCTTGTAGCATACTGGGCGAGGCTTGTAACATACTGGGCGAGGCTTGTAACATACTGGGCGAGGCTTGTAACATACTGGGCGAGGCTTGTAGCATACTGGGCGAGGCTTGTAACATACTGGGCGAGGCTTGTAACATACTGGGCGAGGCTTGTAGCATACTGGGCGAGGCTTGTAACATACTGGGCGAGGCTTGTAACATACTGGGCGAGGCTTGTAACATACTGGGCGAGGCTTGTAACATACTGGGCGAGGCTTGTAACATACTGGGCGAGGCTTGTAACATACTGGGCGAGGCTTGTAGCATACTGGGCGAGGCTTGTAATATACTGGGCGAGGCTTGTAACATACGAGGCGAGGCTTCTAACATACTGGGCGAGGCTTGTAATATACTGGGCGAGGCTTGTAACATACTGGGCGAGGCTTGTAACATACTGGGCGAGGCTTGTAATATACTGGGCGAGGCTTGTAACATACTGGGCGAGGCTTGTAACATACTGGGCGAGGCTTGTAGCATACTGGGCGAGGCTTGTAACATACTGGGCGAGGCTTGTAGCATACTGGGCGAGGCTTGTAACATACTGGGCGAGGCTTGTAACATACAGGGCGAGGCTTGTAGTATACCGGGCGAGGCTTGTAACATACAGGGCGAGGCTTGTAGTATACCGGGCGAGGCCTGTAACATACAGGGCGAGGCTTGTAACATACGGGGCGAGGCTTGTAATATTCCCGGCGAGCCTTGTAACATAAGAGGCGAGGCTTTTAATGTACGAGACGAGGCTTGTAACATGCGAGGCGAGAGTTTTAATATACCCGGCGAGGCTTGTAATATACTGGGCGATTCTTGCAATATTTGGAGCGAGATTAATGGATAAGAAACATTATAATGACTAAAGCACATGTTATACAGGT